TGTGCAAAATATGATGAATTTTTACTTGTGATTTATCATTGCATTAATATTTTTTAGTTTTGCTTAAAGAGGTGGCTCAAAAAAATTAATGAATGAGTCAATTTAATTTATTGATTTAGTCGAGGAAAAAAATCCAGTGACTTCTCTTAATATTGTTCAATCTTATCATAGCAACTTCTAGCCCCACATTCGCCCTCGATTTTCTTAGAGGGTAAGTCATAATCTTATCAAGTACTAACCCCGCCCACCCGCCCTCTATTTTGTTAGAGGTTATGTCATTTTCTTTTAGTATTTGTAAAGATAAGACTCCTTTTGGCAGATGATATACTTTCTGAGAAAATAGAGGGTGGGTGGGCGGGGCTTCAATTTACTAAGATAAGACTGATTTTGGCAAATGACTTACTTTCTAAAAAAATAAAGGGCGGGTGGGCGGGGCTAGTATTTGTAAAGATAAGATTGAGTCTATATTTGTGATTCATCACTGTATTAATATTTTTTAGATTTGCTTATACAGAGTGTCTCAAAAAATTAATGACTGAGTCTTGAAAACCTAAAAAATTAATGAATCGAAAAATTGGTGAACCCAGAAATTGTAAAATCGAAAAATTATAGCCGTCAAAATTGTAAAGTCGAAAAAGTGTAACTTTGATTGTTATTATTCATTTTCCCGATTTTTTAATTTTCATTTTTCCGATTTTTTAATTTCCATTTTTCTCCAATCACAATTTTTGGTTTTTTCATTCCCTTTATTTTTCAATGTTTTTTTTTCGATTTTATAACTTTTTCTTTATTAAGACTTTTAATTTTGCAATTTTTGGATTTCTCCATTGATTTTTTTTAATTTTCAATATTTCAATTCTCTCTGTCTCATCTTTTCGATTTTTCAATTTTTCGTATATTAAATTTTTTATTTATTTCCAATTTTAAGATTTTTCAAAGTTTTCATTTGTATTCTTTCGTTTTTTCATTTTTGATTTTACAATTTTGGAAAATTTCCGGTTTTTTTATTCGAAAAGTTGAAAAAGCGAAAAATTGAAAAATAGTAAAAATTGAAAAAACAAAAAAACCTCAAAAAATGAAAATCGGAAAAAAAGAGGAAATTCAAAAAATTGGAAAGAGGAAAAAACGAATCCAATCGAAAAATTTGAAAACCCCAAAATTGTAAAATAAAACGTCAAAATTGTAAAGTCAATTAATTGTAACTTTGATTTTTATTTTTTGTTTTCCTTATTTTTTTAATTGTCTTTTTTTCGATTTCATTTCACAATTTTTCGTTTTTTCATTTCCTTTATACTCCAATGTTTCTTTAATTTCTATGTATAATTTTTATTAGTTTATTCAATTTTCCGAGTTTTCAGTCTTCGATTTTTCAATTCCTCGGTTTTCCAATTTGAAATTTATCAATTTTGCAATTTTTGGATTTCTGAATGATCCGATTTTCCGATTTCTTTAGTTTTCAAAATTTTGATTTTGCAATTTTCGGTTTTTTGGATTTTGCACTTTTCCGGTTTTTGAGTTTTCGTAGTTTTCGTTTCTTCAATTTTTCAAGTTGTTGATTTCCAATTTTTAGATTTCTCAGAGTTTTCATTTCATTTTTTTTTTTCGTTTTTTTATTTTTGATGTTTAAATTATACAATTTTGAAGTTTTTCCATTCTTTGTTTCGAAAAGTTGAAAACTTGAAAAATTAAAATTCGAAAAACTAAAAACTCGGAAAAGATTGAAAAATCAAAAAACTGAAAAACTATAAATTGCAAAATCGAAGCAATGGAAAATCAAAAGAACTGAAGAAATGAAAAATTGGAAAACTCTAAAATTGTGAAATCGAAAAATTATAGAACGTCAAATACGCAAAGATCAAAAATTGGAGCTTTGCTTTTTATTGTTCAGTTCCTTTATTTTTTCAATGTTTTTTTCGATTTTGTAAGTTTTCTTTACTTCAATTTTTAAAATTTTTAATTTTACAATTTTGGATTCCTCCATTATCTGATTTTCCGATTTCCTTAAAAATTTTCCGGTTTTTTGATTCGAAAAGTTGAAAAATTGAAAATCGAAAACCCAAAAACCCCAACAATTGACAAATCGAAATAAGAGGAAAATCGAAAAATTGAAAATCGAAGAACTGAAGAAACAAGAAATCGAAATATTGAAAAAGTAATAAACTAGAAACTAAAAAATGGAAAAAATCAAAAAATTGGAAATTTGATTAAATCAAGAATTGCAAAACTAAATATTTTGAAATCTGGCAGAAGTTTTAAAGTTATTGTAAGCATGGTAAATTGTTAATCAAAATACAGGGTGTTTCTTTTGTTTGATACAACCTCTGTAACTTTTTTATTCTCAAAGATAAACCTGCAGTTCTTGGAGTAAATTGGTATCATTTTAAAAGATCTATGTGATGGCAATCTCACATTTTTATTATCACTTCCGGTAAAACCGGAAAATACGTCAACTTATTTTTTTTTATGGAAGATTATTTTTTTTTCAGAAATGGAAAGCTTGATTTTTTTCTAAATTCAATACTTTCAAAGTTATTCAATAAAATATAGACGAAAAATTCATATTTATTGATAACAATCTAGTAGCTTGAAAAATTGACATTCATGTCATTTATTAATATAAGTGATCTTTTAAAATGATACAAATTCTCACTCAAAGGACTATGTTTACCTTTAAAAATTTCCAAATAAAAGAAACACGTGGTACATTTGTTTATTACCGCCAAAAAATTGATGACGTCTTTTCAAAATTTTGCGGAATAAATTCTACCTATAATGTGCAAAATATGAATTTTTACTTGTGATTTATCATTGCATTCATATTTTTTAGTTTTGCTTAAAGAGGTGGCTCAAAAAAATTAATGAATGAGTCAATTTATTTTATTGATTAAATCAGGAAAAAAAGTCCAGTGAATTCTCTTAATATTGTTCAATCTTATCATAGCAACTTCTAGCCCCACATTCGCCCTCGATTTTCTTAGAGGGTAAGTCATAATCTTAGCAAATACTAACCCCGCCCACCCGCCCTCTATTTTGTTAGAGGTTGTCATTTTTTTTTTTAGTATTTGTAAAGATAAGACTCCTTTTGGCGGATGATATACTTTCTAAGAAAATAGAGGGTGGGTGGGCGGGGTTTCAATTTACTAAGATAGGACTGATTTTGGCAAATGACTTACCTTCTAAGAAAATAAAGGGCGGGTGGGCGGGGCTAGTATTTGTAAAGATAAGACTGATTTTGGCAAATGATGTACTCTCTAAGAAAATAGAGGGCGGGCGGTGGATGGGCACTTTTGATTTTGTTTTAAATCTTAGATTCTACCGCTTGTCAAAATAGAATTCAATTCCCACTGTACAATAAATAAAATAAGTTAGTGGAATAAAGAAAAAAAGTGGGCGGAACTGAGTTTAGCTTTTTTCTTAAGAGTATTATAAGTAAGCAGTAGCTCCGCCCACTGACCCCTTCTTGATTTCAGTGACTACTCTTATTATTGTGCCGTCTTACCTTAGCAAATACTAGCCCCGCCCACCCACCCTCTGTTTTCTTAGAGTAGATGTGATTTGCCAAAATTGTCTTATCTTGGCATCTACTAGGCCCGCCCACCCGCCCTCTCTTTTCTTAGAGGCCATGTGATTTGCAAACAAATCCTAACGAAAAAAAAATAATGAAAAATTGAAAAAACGCAGTTCGAAAAATTGAAGACGTCAAAAATTGAAAAATCAAAAAGGAATAATGAAAAATTGAAAACTTAACAAAACGCTAGCCCCGCCCACCCACCCTTTATTTTCTTGAAGAGTATGTCATTTGCCAAAATCAGTCTTATCCTAGCTGGTACTACCCCCGCCCACCCGTGCTGTTCTCATTCAAACGATTTTATTTATGTTCAGTATGAGATCAACCTTTCATTCAGACTAGATAAAATATATATCACTGAAATGGAGGCGGGGTGGGTGGGCGGGGTTAATTATATAATTCTATGTAGAGTGGGAATGAAAAAACTAACAGAACTTGGGCTGTTAAAAAAAGAAAAAAAAGTGCTAATCGTACTTTTTTCGCTATACTATTTGCTATAAGATATATTTCTAATTTCAGAAGAAAAAAAAAATTAGAGAACGGGTGGTGGGCGGGGCTAAGTTCAACTTTTTCCTACAATCAGTTATAAGAAAACAATAGCACCACCCACCCACCCCTCTTCATTCCAGTGACTACTCTTAATATTAGTCAGTTTTATCTTAGCAACTTCTAGCTCCATATCCGCCCTCTATTTTCTTAGAGGGTAAGTCATTTGACAAAATTAGTCTTGTCTAGTCTAGTCAAGTACTAGCAATTCATATTGTGCAAGCTTTACTTCTCGCGTTCAATTGAAAGCAGTAAGATATCAATAAATTAAAGCAATTGTTTGAAATTGGAGGTAATAAAAATAAATGTGAAAAATTCAAAAATACAGCAATGAAAAAAATTTGGATGTCTTATTACTTACGTTTTTACAACACACTTCAAAAAAACAGATTGAGATTTTTCATTTAACACTAGTTCGGGATACTTGCAGAAACTTTTGGCATTTTGGACTCGAAGTTCACTTGTCAGTACCAAAGTAAGGACTGAAAAGGGTAAATAACAAAATGAGTAATTGCTAGAAGGATGCCACTTGAAAAGTTAAATAAGGGATAATTAAGATAATGTTAAGCCTGCTGGGGCCTACTTAATATGTCAATAAACTAATGTCTCCAGTTCGGCTTAGGATTTCTTAACTAATGGTTTTCCAGGTAAAGATTTTACTCGAATGTCTTGGTATTTGCTGAATAAAGTTACAATTTGAAAATTTCACAAAAATATGCATAAATATGCACTTTCGGCAACGGGAGACCTATTTTGTCGTACTCTTCAGACCATGAAACGCCCAGAAAACATGAAACTTTTAAGATATGAAAAGAGTAGTCCCTAAATCAAAATTTTGAAACCTTCAGTAAATAAAAACTGCATGTCCGTGTCCACTTTCTTCCAGATCGCCAAGTGCCTCAACCGCTCCCAAAGCCTCACCAGATGCCGCAAGTGCGACGGTGTCGCCGTGGTCGAAAACGACATCAGCCAATGCCAGAACGTCGTCGCCTGCGGCCTCATCTACTGCCTCCGCTGCTCGAGCGCCTCCGAAACGGGCGCCAAAGACTTCAAGGACGCCTGCGGCCACGCCATCCTGCGGCCTAAGCTCGGCAACATGAGCAACCACATGGAGGACTCCTCCTTCTTCAATTTCTCCAACCAAGATTCGGGCTTTTACTCCGAAAACGAGTCGCCCCCGAAGGTGCGGAGGAACCTGTTTTCCACGAGTACGGAAACCCCCAAAGCTTTGACCATCAACAACAAGAACAAAAGTCGGGTCGTGGTGACGTACAAGAAGAAGGAGACGATCTCGTACGTGCCGGTCGTTCCCAATAAGGAGCACATTCGCATACCGATGGATGGTGACAGTCCGCCGAGGTACCAGTACGCGGTCGGGTCCAAGGAGAGCAAGAAGAATTTGAAAAGACTAACGCGTTAGCATCACGTTCCATGATTGTGTGATATTGATAATTTATAACGTTGTAAGACAAATTTGTATTTGTTTTTTTTTTTTTTTTGTTTATTTTTTTTAGTATTCCCAGTGATTAGTAAGGTTAAGTGTAAGCATGTTTTTGATAAATTTCAGTTTTTTTAATGTGGAGTTTCAATGAACGAAGACCTTTCAGGGTGCCCAATAGCAGACCGAAAAATGAGCTAAATAGAATTTCATTTTACGGGCGTAATTTCAACTTTGAAAAAAAGATCGACATTTCAATTGATAGATTATGTCTAAATTTCTGGGGGAGACACAATATTTTTAAAATAAGTGATTGTTTAGTGTTTAATTAGTCGTTCATTCTTCGAAGGAAATTGCATTTTTAGACGAGGAGAGAGCATTTTTCGCTTCAACTTTTATATCAATGCAAAGACAACATTGAGATCTATGGGGAAGACTGGTCATTTTTGTTTAAAATTTATATTTAACAAAATATCTGCTTTTTAAAAAAATACTGAATAATGAAAATAAAGTGAAACTAGGCAACGCTATTTACAAAGGATCGGTTTCAATAAATGGTTGAGTTTTACACAGCAGAGAGCCTTGCCGACCGACCCTTTCAGCTAATCAGTCCAGGTACTTTAGGTCATAAAACTCATAAATACTCTTAGCTGACCAACATTGTTGAAACTCTTTTACAAGTCGACTTCTTTCATTGCTGACATAATTTGATTTAAAAGTATGCAAATTTTTATAATTTTATATATTCTAAAATATTTTCTTTGAAAAAATTATTCAAATATTTTTTATTAATCTGTCATTTTATATATTAATCAATACACAAAACTGACAAGATTTAGATTCTCATCACTTCACTAACCACTATTTACCTGAACAATCATATTTATTTAAATTTAATTTTTTGATACTCTTTTCCGCACCACCTATGAGGTAGAGTATTATAGGCACGTTTTTTACGTGGTATCTCCAGTAAACCTATTCCAATATTACTATTTATTCCTGTGTGTGTTTATACTAGAAGGGCAAAAGATTTATATGAACTACACATGACGCGAATGCAAATAAAAAATTTTAAGTGTACAATTTTTTCTTTACAATTTGTCTAATCCGTTGACTTGTTTAATAACGAGAATCTATTCTCTCCGGAAGTAAGGCATATAAATAAAATTTTTCTAGAGCTCTATCATATTAATCTCCCAAAATTTATCATCTCGTTGAATTAAACATTATTTAAATTAGACATTTTATATATTTCTACGATCGCGTTTTTGTTTATTAAGCCGTCTGGCGATGCCGCTAAAAATGTACAAACCGCATTGTCTTATTGTCAGTTTGGTGTTACTGCAAAATGCTTCAGTTGCCCTTGCTTCATTTTCTATGCAAAGATTTTGGGAGAGTACATGCTGAACTAGATTTGCAGGGATGTAAAATGTTTTTCACAGTACAGTAGGATTAGCCGTGTTACTTTGTTCTCTCATTTTGCAAATTTTACCAAAATAACGTTCGGTTAGTCTAAAGGATTTTTCTGCGCACCATTCTGCATTATTGCGTTCGCCGATTGTGTTTTGTTCGATTAAAAAGACATCGACGTTTGAAAGTTTTTTGAGAAATACTTTTTGCGCTGTGACATATCGGGTATTTCAACTGCCTCGTTAGATACATCGTCGCCCGAGAACTTGTATGATCCACAGACCGGAGCGCGCTCAGGCCAATGTCGACTCTATAAGCCTCCAGAAATTCTGCGGGAAATAGTTATTATTTAGATGCTTTTGTTTACACACATCTCACATGTTTCACTCGATTTTGACACTCAACTATTTTTTTGTTTAACTAAGAATTGATACTTTCATTGCGTTTAATACTAACGTCCTAAATTAGCAATACTAGTGGAACAGTAATCATGCAATAGATTTTTTTGGAAAAGTATAGTTATTTTTATGTTTTAGCAGCAATGTGTTCTATTTTCTATTAATTTTTACATATTTTTAGTCACAATTTTGGTAGTTATTTTTTACTTTTATTTTTAGCAATAATAAATAGTCCAAACATGAAGAAATAAAAAAAAAATAAAAATTGGAAAATCTAAAGCTTAGAAATCGAGAAATTGAACAATCGTATAATTGAAAAATCGAAACATCGAAAAACTGGAAAATCGAAAAATTAAAAAAAAAATGGAAAATCAGGAATTTAATAAATTCCGAAAATTGAAAAACTGAAATATGCATAGAAGAACTGAAAACTCGAGAAATCGAAAAATCTAGAATTTTAAAAACTGAAAAATTAAAATATCGAAAAGTTGAAAAATTGCGAAATCGTATCATTGAAACATCGGACAATTGAGAAATCGAAAAATAAAAAAATGGAGAAATCGAAAATTTGAAGAATGGAAAAATTGAAACATCAAAAGTTGAAAAATCGAAAAACCGGAAAGCCGAAAAATCTCAATAAAGTATTTATAAACCACAAGTTCAGGATTATGCTACTAAAAAATTGATAACGTCATCTCAAAATTTTGCCGAATCAGTTCTACTAAAAATGTGCAAAATATGATGAGTTTTTACTTGTAATTTATCATTGCATTCATATTTTTTAGATTTGCTTATATGTATACTTAGGTGGCTCAAAAAATTAATGAATGAGTCTATTTATTCTATTGATTAAATCGAGAACGACTCACTCCATTTTCCCACAAATTTTGGGAATACTGTTATTTTTAGTCTAATCCACATTGATTTACGTGTCCTTGCAAAATGTTGATGATTTCATCACAAAATTGTGTATCTAAAGTAAAAATTTAACTCGAAAATGCTGGATGGGTTTCATTGTATTTTAGGTCCGAGGGAAGTTCTGTCGAAACAACTTTCTACCAATTTTTTTGCTGTTATATTTGAACATAAACAGTTTATTTTATATATTTTTAAAACATTATAAAGAAAATAAAAAGTTGTGTTAGAGTGAACCTTGTGGGTTTCTCAATCTATTTTCCGCAGCATTTTAAACTTTCAACTCAATTTCTTTCAAAATACATACAAGTCGATCTCGATGGTTATTTCCCTGTACCCTTCATTTGAAAATAAATAAGCTTATCTGGTGTTGTTTACCGATTTTTTTGTTTACTTGTATGAAAAAATGATATTGATATAGATGTATCTACATCAAACTGCAGCTTTTTTCCTATTCTAGAGCGCAGAAACCAGTTCAATCAATTAAAAAAATATGGCTGAGAAATATCGTAAAAAAAGCACCATTGTATGTTTTCTTTTCAAGTTTTTTGAGTCATAACCATCATAGAATCGCTTGAAAATTCGTATATGGATAAAACATCACTTGTTACAGGCCGCAGAGTCATTAAATGTTTGTTAGTGGTACAATTTGTTTAAATAATAATGTGTTTATTAAAATCAAAATATACCACAAATTAATGCAAAATACGTCGAATAATTTTAACAGGAATATCAGAGGAAAATTAATGATCTATTGGTTAGCAGAGTTTTTAACAAAAAGTAACAATTATTGAAAAAAATGGGTATCAATTCGACAGAATTTGAGCAGTTAGTTCAGTACTTGGCCGATAGGAGCGCCACTAAAATTTACGGAAGCGACTTTCCAGGTAAAACCCTTATCGCCTGCTCTACCATAAGCTGATTGTTAGCGTTCTCGGCTGATTTTCCTAATTTATGGCAAGGAACTCAGTTTTATAACAAGCCGCCAGGACCGGCCGTAGTAATCTATTGTTAAGGAAATTAACTTTTACGCAATGAGGTACTATCATAAAACCGAATTAAAACTGGGGAACTATAATATTTTTACTCCAATCAGGATCCTGAATTCAATACACATGATTACTAAAAATTCATTGTAATATTATTGTTAATATATATTTTGCTTTGTTAATTAATAAAACTAATAAGCATATTTATAATAATAATAAAAAATATATAAAATGCAGCTTTTGTTTAACACGTATAAGTAGCTAAGTGTATCTACTACTTATCCCAGAAAGGAGGTGTTTTAAAAAAGCCCTACGCCCAGTAACTTCTCCCTTCATTATTTACTCGAAAAAAGTGCTCGTATATGTTTTCATTTGCCGAGAGATCATTTCCAAATATATTTATAATAAAAATATGCAAGTCTTGGTGATGAAAAATGTACTCCTAATAAATTATTAAAGTACATAAAAAAATAGAAACAAATTTTATTTATTTAAAAAAAATCTCTCGCAAAGGCAGGTTCCTCTTTCTTCTTAAATCAATTATTTCGGGCAATAATGCGCCAAAATAAAATCTGCCAATTTTATCTGCCATCTTTTTACATATTTCTTCGTCTTTATAAATTTTTTCTATATTTATTCCTTTGGGTGTCCACACAACAAAATAAACTTGTGAAATACCCGTAACAAGCATTTGTCCCTGGACTTGAAAGTAGTAATCATGATTTTTTTTTTTTAGTTTCAATTCTCTGCCTGTCAATGTACAAAATATGATTTTTTTTTTCTAACCGCTTCTTCGGGAGACAAATCTTACGATTTTGAAGGGCATTTAATTTCGACTAATGCACTCCTATCCTCTAGAACCCTGTCTGGACTAGCAGCCAAATTAAATAAGGAAATTGTTTTGAAATAAACAAGCCACACCGCTCAGTTTTTATATTTTTATTTATTTCAAAACACTTGACAGCTTTTTCCTCACTTTGTTGTCCATAGTATGTATGACTATTACCTCTAAATGTACTGTACAACAGAGACTCCACAGTTTTAGCTGTTGTTGTAGTCGGTCTAAGTTTGTAAATACGTCCAAAATTTGAAGCCGTAACTCTAATTTCTCTTTCTTTTGCCCAAATATGCCTGTTGCCTAGTGTCTATTTCAATTTGGTCTAAATTCAAAAAACCTCTTTGGCTGTCACAAATGTTTCTACATCCATGACAGGATTTTCTAAAAAATATTTAAACCATAATCGCAGTCGGGACCAGCATACGTAAATTTTTTTACGACATATTTTTTTACGAATACTTTGTCTAAGACGAGCCTGTTTTATAGACGAACAATATTTTTTTGTTTTTAAACCAAGACCGTTTTAATCACAATATATTGACTTATCCCCTCTAAAAAATTGATGACTTCACCTCAAAAGTTTGCCGTATAATCCTATTTAAAATTTACAAAATATGATGAGTCTGTTCGTGTAATTTATCATCTCATTCATATTTTTTGGATTCGGATATATAGGGTGACTCAAAAAATTTAATGAATGCGCAAATTTATTTTATTGATTTAATCAGGAACTACAAAACCGAATGTTTTAAAATCTAGTGTGAAAAAAAAAACATAATAGGCATGCAGTCGTCACGTTTCCGATAGCGAGGGAAGTACTGTCTAAACTCTTAGACCAATTTTTTTGATTTTCCCATTTCTCCATTTTTCAATTTTTCAATGTTTCAGTTTGGGATTTTTTCACTGTTTCGATTCTTTAATTTTCCTTCCAATTTTAGGTTTTTCAATGGAATTTTGCAATATTTCGTTTCTTCAATTTTTCAAATTTTTGATATTGTGTTTTCTCGGTTTTTAAATTTTTCGATATTTTAATTTTTCAGTTTTTAAAGTTGTAGGTTTTTAGATTTCTCACTATCTCGACTTTTCGATTTTTCAGTTCCATGATTTTTCAATTTGTCGAATTTTTAAATTTTAGATTTTTTGTTTTCTTTAATGTTTTGAGTTCTCGATCATTCGATTTTCTGAGTTTTCAGGCTTAGATTTTTTTTGTTGTTCAATTCTTGGATTTTAAAAATTTTTGTTTTTTAAATTTTCCTATTTATCAACTTACTGGGATTTCAATGTTTTGATTTTTTGATTGTTCAATTTCTCGATTTTTTGAATTTTTAGTTTTTGATACGATTTTTTTTTCAAAAATTTTCAGTTTTTCAATTTATTATCTTTACGATACTTCAGTTTTGCTCGATTTCTCAATTTTTCGACATATTGCTGTTGGGATTTTTCAATTTATCGATTCTTCGATTTCTAGAATTTCTTCATTTTTCAATTTCTCAATTTTCTGATGTTTCAGTTTTACGATTTTTAAGTTTTTTTATTTTTCAGGTTTCAATTTTTGACGTTTCTAAATTTTTCAATTTCTCAATTTTTCGATTAACTGATTTTTTGATTTTCCCATTTCCCTATTTCTCGATTTTTCAATTCTTTCTTCAATTGTGATTTTTCAATTTTTCGATTTCTGAATTTTTTAATGTTTCAGTTTTGGATTTTTTCACTTTTCCGATTTTTCAATTTTCCTTCCATTTCTCAGTTTTTCAGTATTGCAGTTCTGGGATTTTGCAATGTTTCGGTTCTTCAATTTTTCCATTTTTTTTTGTTTTCCTTGATGTTCTGATGTGTCAATTATTCGATTTTTCAAGTTCTCGGTTTAGATTTTTTGGTTTTCCAATTCTCCGATTTTTAAATTGTTTAATTTTTAGATTGTTCAATTTCTCGATTTTTAGATTTTTCAATTTTTCGGTTTACCGATTTTTTTTATTTAAAATGTTTCAATTTTTCAATTATTAACTTTTCGATTTTTCAATTTTGGTCTAATTTGATTTCTTAATTTTTTGATTTTTTGTCTCCTCTACTGTTGATGTTTTGATTTCTCGATGTTTCAGTTTTTGAACATTCCGATGTTATAATTTTTCGACTTTTTGGCTTTTCGAATGTTCAATTTTTTTATTTTTGAATTTTAGCTTTTTGTTTTTTTTGATTTTTTTGTTGGTGGTTCGATTTCCCAATTCTTCAATTTTTCGATATTTCAATTTTTCAATTTTTAGAATTTTTAGAATTTTTAAATTTTTGATTTTTCTTTTCTTTTATTTCTCGATTTTTGGACTTTTTAAATTTTACATTTTTCGATTTTACTATTTTTTGATGCTTGGATTTCTCAATTTTTAAAGTTTTCAATACTCAATTTTTCAAGAAAAAATATCAAAGTCTACTTTACTATATAAAGATCATGAATGGATAATATTCATTTGTATAACAAACTATAAAAAGAGGCAGTGAAATCTTTGCACAGACTTTGAAGTTTTACAGTGATTTACTTTTTGTTTATTTGAAAATTTTTAACAAACACATTAATTTGCAGTGGTCTTGACAATGAACTTTGTTCGTAGAATAGATTTAAAGTCATTAAGTAGGTAATCTAAATGACATAAACTCAGCAGGTACCTATCTATGAACAATACCTAATTCATTTAACATAAAATGACCCATTGTTCACGTGCAGGTGGATTACGTAAAAGTTGACCTTCTGCTTGCTAATATTCTTATCAATGGATTTGTTTACTGTTTAAAAACGACAAATTTGTCCTAGTGTTAGGTGCTGTGATATAGGAAATAAATAAAAACCAATATTAAGGAAATTCTCTTATATTTTCTTGTAAGGAAGACGCTATTCCAGTGTTTCGTATATATTAAAACTTATTAAAAGTCACCCTGTATATTGTTTTAATCAAGATTTAATTTGCACCATATTTTATTTACATTTACTTAATTATAATATGTCTTATCAGTTATTACTGTACTTATTACCGATAATGTTAAATAACTGCCTGTTTATTTTTAATTTAAGTTTAACAAAATACCGAAAAAATATTAAACTTCTTCACAAAGTTACAACATTTGAGCAACCTTAACCATACTTTCACCCAGTTCTTTCCATCCTTTGTTGTACTAGAACAGACGAAGCGGTCTTCAAATCGTACGCCCACCCAATTTTCGCCATCAGGTCAATAAAAGCCGTACTTATGTTACCACTGTAGACATCCAATTCCGCCGCTTTGTAGTCCCATGGAAAGACGTGGTGGTAATTATGCCACCCTTCACCCTGCGTGAGATGCGACACCCAGGAGTTCTGCGACGGTTTAATGGACCTAAAGAACTCCACTGTGTAGCAGTACTTCATCAGTACCTTACTAGTACCTATCATATGGTTTAGAACCCCACATATGAGCCGCACTGTTGACCAACCAAGTCACATGCAAAGTAAAGACATAGCGCAGCATTCCAGCGGTACAAAACGACGTATACAGATCCTCGTTCCAGAAATACCACGGTACAACCGTTGGTAAAATGAAGCAACAAATTGGTGCCAAAGCCACATAGAACCTGGAAAAAGCAACCAAAATTTCTACGTTTTGCGTCTTTTGGCTTTACTTTTTCTGGAACTGGACAACCGGATCCGCTTCTAGGTCACTCATGTCCACGAGTTTGCCCATTTTGGCCACGTCTGGGTGCTTTCGCATCATCAGCCACCCCATGTGGGAGAAAAAGAACCCTCTGGTGATGTTGTGGGGGTCGGCGTCGGTGTCTGTGAATTTGTGGTGGACTCGGTGGTCCCGGGACCACTCGTAGATGCTATTTTGGAAAGCTACAGTTTGCAAAAAACATAGAAGTAGTCTTAAAGGCAACTTAGCCTTGTAGGATTTATGGGCCCATAGTCTGTGGACGCCTGAAGTGATGCCTTGACCCGACGCCATTGCCATTATTACAGCTAAAACCTTGTTGTTTGTAAACTTTTGACTTAAGTTTGTACTTACTGAATGAAAATGTCTGCCATTTGATGTTACAAGTGACTAGATAAAATAACCCTTGAAGGGCGATGTAATGGTACAATGAAATTACGATGACGTTTGGCCACACAATTTGGGGTTTATTGTTGGATGGGGATTTAGCTTCCATTTTAAAAGTAGTGGTTTGTACTGGACTTACTCGTAGTCACTGATAAAAAGTACCAACGGCGGCAATTTCATTCCGAGGTAATAATTTTTAAAATGACACCACTTACTTGATAACGATATTGCAAAGAGCCTTGTTTAATAATTACGTTGTTATGTTTAAGAATGAGTAATTTTACATGCGATATTTATAAAATTTTGTTGTGGGAATTGATAGCGAAACGACTTACATGCGACTAATGCTTAGTTTTCGATAAGATTTGGATTAATGGGCAATTTTTAGTTGTTGTTAAATGGTGTAGATAATGGACGTGGCAATTTTAATTTTTTTCCAAGGAGGTTATTATAAAAGGGTAATCATTTTCGAAGACTAAGTAGGCAACCGAATATACTTTAGATCATGGATGGTTTCATCATTACTATTTTAAATGCAGTTGGACTGACCGATAATAATTGCAGTTTGCCTTTCTGTTTTAATATAATTATGTAGACTTCTTTTCATAACATGAAACTTAAAAAATGTTTAAAATGGAAAATTTGTATAAGGAAATATCGATTTTGCAATGGCTCATTTAACTATGTTTTAAGTTTCTTCTTATGAAAGATGGCTGCATATATTAAAAAAAAGGCAAAAGATAAACCCCACCCACCCGCCCTATCTCAATTCTGTCTGTCCGTCTGTCTGCCGTCCCGATTTGTTTTTGTATGTTTTTGCAGAGTGATTATAATAATAATAATAATAATAGGACTTTATTAAATAATAATAGGCCAAATCTAGCCATAGGCTATTCCACTTAACCTTAGATTTACAAGAAAATAAAACTAACCAAACAGTTTGTACAGAAAAACGGATTAAATATATAGACAGGAGTCAGCTAGGTAATGATCAAATTAAACAAATTAAACTAATTAAATCTAAATTAAATGATCCATAATTAGAAACTAAATTTATACAAATAATAATAATAATAACAAAAAATTAACAACAAGCAAGAGAACCACAATAATAAACTTAAACCTAAGTATTAACCAAGCATTTTTTAATTTTTTTCCTAAAACAATTGATGGAAGAACTTGAATTAAACTGTAATAAAAATTTATTGTAAACTTTGATAATATTGTACGTGAAAGATCTCTGAAAGATAGATGTATAATGCTTTGGCATTGACAGTTCTTTAAGATTCCTTAATGGAAGACTTGAGTTTAACATACTTTTTCTTGTATGAAATTTACAACGCAAGTACGGCGGAGAGTTAGAGGAAAATAACTTGAAAGCAAAGATAGATAGGTGATACTGAAACAATTTGTCAATTTTCATCCAACCGAGCTCACAGATTTTCTGAGACACATGATCAAATTTCCTCAAACCAAAAATGAAACGACAACAATTATTTTGGATTTTTTGAAGACGGTATTTATCAATACTGTCAAGACATGGGTAATATATTACTAGGCAATAATTTATATATGACAAGACAAGAGACTCACATAATTTCTTCCTCAATTTAAAATTGAGTAAAAGGTAATTTGAATAAAGAAGTTTCAATGCTACATAAGATTTTTTAATAATGTTAGAAATATGGGTCTTAAAACGAATATCGTCATCAATCACCAATCCCAAATTTCTTACAGTATGTAAAACTGGTAGTTTTATATTATCAAATTTAACATTAATATTGTCATAAAGAACATTTTTAAATTTTCGGGGAGCGAAGCAAATAACTTTGCATTTATTCATATTCAGTTGGAGGTTAATATCAGATGAAACATTTGCTATATTTTGTACGTCATTATTTATATGGTTAGATGCTGTATCAACTTCGTTAGGTAGGAAATGATGTTGCATTTGGGTGTCATCTGCAAAGGCTCTCTTTTTAGATACTGAAGGTATCTGCAACAATTGGGAAGTATATATAGTAAAAAGAATTGGGCCTAAGACCGAGCCTTGCGGTACGCCTGATGTTATTAAGACAATTTTAGATTTACCAGACTCGGTTACAACTTGTTGATGTCGATTTTGTAAATATGATTTAAAAAAAGAAACAGAAATTTGATCGAACCCATAATATTCCAGTTTTGTGCAGAGGAGGTGGTGGTCCAAAGTATCAAAAGCTTTTGAATAATCCAAAAGAGTTACAATACTTGCGTGGTTTCTGTCAAGTTCAATCAGGCAATCATCGATAACAGAAGCTAGAGCTATCGTTGTGCTATATCCCTTGCGAAAACTAGATTGATAACACTTGGGGCGGTCATTCTGTCTAATAAAAACTGACACAGACGACGGACAGACGGAAAAAGAGGACCACTTTTTCCCAATTCTAGGGGTCTTCAATTAATGTCGACAAATGAAAGTGGCAAGTCGCAGGATGGACTCGATTACTATACTACCTCAGCTTAGGCTCAGGAAGTCATTCATATGTATATGTGGAATATCCTTGGTCGGAAATGATAATGACACAGGTGACAAACATAGAAAGATAGATTCCCTGCAGCCGCCCTCCGCATGTCCTACTTCCTACTTCCATACGATTGTTTTGTCTATGCGTTTGTTTTGTAATACTGTTTAAAAGAAAACTAACATCAAACCATGTTTACCCTTATTGTTTTGGTTGTAATTATATGGGTGTAATATCGTGCTGTGTTAAACCATAAGTACCTTTCGCCTGATAAACAATAGTGATTTCAAATAATTTGCATGATATTGTAACACCAAGTTGGTGGAAAATTAAACCAGGTTACAAAAATAGAAAATTTTGTAAATTCAAATAGATATTTTATTAAAACATGAATAATACATACAACGTCGCATCGTGGTAAATCACACACTTACACAAAGTGACTTATTTTTTTGTTTCATTTGATATTTTTAACTAGGTAATAAACCAATGTGTAATAGTCTTGAAAATAAACTTTGTTTAACATAAAATGAGTCATTGTTAAAAAGCGGATTGTAGGCTAAAAAAATGTTTACGCAACGTCTAGTTTTCTTTGAGGTTACACCCTCAGAGGCTTCCGTCATCGTTTCTCTGTCATAGTGAACTTTTCTACTTTCTATGGGTACCCGCATTCGTGCTAGAGTGTTGACCAGTTCACTTAAGTTTATGTTTCCGCGTATTGTGTTTGCGATTTAAAAAAATAATTTTAAAAACCACCCCCTTCTGAAGTGTGCACGTTACGCTACTGACTGACAGTCGGTTGTCAGATTCTGATGATTCACCATGTTGAACTTAAAATAATCCATCTCTAACAACCTTTGTCCTACTACACTAGGTAATCGCGATCTGACGCTCAAGTGTTTATTTATGTTTATAGTAGTATTCATTTATTATTTGCCCTACAGGCTTAATAAGATTAGTTTTATATAATAATAATTGTTCCCTTATCTTCCGAACTTATTTTATCCAGTCCACTTCCATCCTCGTTTAGCACTTCTTTCCTACTTTCCTGCGATTCTCTTAATACTTCCCTTCCTTCCATCATATGCTCTATTGTTTATCCCTCTCTCCAACATATCCGACACCTTCTGTCAGTTTCGTCCATCCAAAAATTGTTCTCTCTCTCTGTGTGTGTACTTTTTGGTACTTCATCCTTTACCAGTAAGTGCTTATTTTTTACCCTACGGGCTTAAAAGATTCTTGACACTACAATTTTTTCCTAATTAACAAAAACCAAATAAATACATTTTATAAACCAAATAACTCATTTTTTTTCCTTTACCCCATCCCCCTTACCCCAGCCTTACTCTTGTCCTCTCCACTTCTTTCATCCATTCCACCCCTCTTCCGTCTTCATTCAATATCTCTGTCACACTCTCCTCTCTTTCTCTGCTCTCCTCACAGTCAAGCAGCATGTGCTCTATCGTCTCTCGCCCTTCTCCACACATCCTACACATTCTCTCACCTTCGCTTACCCAAAACTTATTATTTCTTTCTTCATTTTCACACCTAAATCTCGCAATTATTTTTTTTCTTTCGCGCTTTCTCTGTCTAGGTACTTTGGTATTGTTTCTGTTATTATCTTTCTATAGTCTGCATTGTACCTAGATTTACTTACACTCGCTCTTCTCTCTTGTTTATCTATGTCTCTGTCACGCATACACAACTCTTCTCTCATACTCACCCCGATTTCTCTCTTTCTCTCTATTTCCATCCATGCGTCTTTCATAATATCCTTGTCTACCCTTGTGATGTTCTTTACCTGCTTCCTTTTTTCTTCCTTCCAGCATTCATAGAATATCCTACATTCCTCTCTTTCTTTCAATCTTTCATCACACTTTACAGCTCTTTTCCCAGTGTATACTCTTAATTTCTCTCGTTTACATTCGTCTCTTACTATATAGCCTGGCGTCTCTTTCCGTAGCCCTAACATCCACCTCGAATATTTTTCTTGTACTGCTTCCATCTCTGCATATTCCTTCCATCCTCATATCTCCACTCCATGCATTAATACACTCCTAACTAAACTATCAAACATTTTCATCCTTCTTCTTACGTCATGTGCAAATATTCTCTCACCTATACTCCACACCATTACCATTATCTGCATTGATTTGATCCTTCTTTCTCTTATGTGTGCTTTTACCGTGTTAGTTGTTATTGTAAACTTAAATCCTAAATATTTAAATTTCTTTTCTGTGTCTATGATTCGATCTTCCCAACGCCACACTTTTTCCTCCCCTTTTCTCCATTTTTTTCTAAGCACCATCATTTTTGTTTTTTCTACATTTACCTCCAGTGTCTTTCTTTTAAAGTATCTTTGCAGATTTTTTTTCATCTCATTCATTCCACATTCATCCTTCGCCAATGTTACCAAATCGTTTGCAAATGCCAAACACCATACCTTTTCTCTCCCCACCACAATTCCTCCCGTTTGTACTCCTCTAAACATTTCCTCAATATCGCTTATGTAACAAGCAAACAGACTGGGACTTAATGGGCATCCCTGTTTCAATCCTTTCGTCGTAGAAAACATTTCACTTTCTACTCCTCCCACTTTCACACTAGTCACTGTCTCTCTATAAATCTCTCTTGCTGCTGTAATTAACTTCACTCAGTCCTCT